GTGGTGCGTAAGTAGAAGTTCGGAACGTTTCATTTTACGATTAGGTCTTTTTTACTTTACTGCACTACTAACTGTCCGACGTAGCTATTGATTTACCCTTTATCGCGCTATTGGCACATAAGTGGTCAAGAAAGCGCCGCTGAACTAGGCAGAAAAGGAGAAAACCTGCACTGAGCGGGTAGACCCATCCGATTAGCACCTACCCAAGCTACCCATTTGGGTGGCCAACCCACAGGTAGAGGGAACGAGCCGGCTCTCCTCAGTGCGCTCGCCCACGTGCGAGACTAACTAACCTGTTGACTGCAGTCCAAGCCTACCACGATAGCGATCCACCGCGCCGTTGCGCTTGTGCCAACGACTGCGGCTAGGGCCCGCGTGCCCCAATATTTAAGGCGCTAGCTCATACTTAACCGCCTAGACGCTTTGCTTGCTTGAGTTGCCTAAGTATTGCACAGCTAACTTCCCCTGCGCATGGACGCCTACCCGATTAGTTGCCACCCCTAACCAGATAGGACGCCCGGGGTCGTTAGTGCACTTAACACCTTAGTTGATGAACTAACAACGCAATAAGTAAGTTTTGAACGAGCTATAGTACAGACAAAATAGGGGGAGGGACGCAGCTAACCCCTGCGGCAGTGGTAGTGCCTTTTTTACCGGCTTTGATTACTTACTTTTGCCGAACGGGAACGTTTCGCCGACGCACGATGCACCATGTTGCGAATCGGTGACCGCGAGGGTGGGAAACCCACGTAACCTGAAGAGGAACGCGTGAGCTTCCTGAAGCGCAAACCCCTTGCGGGACAACTCCCCTCCCCAAAACCCTTGAGGCTAAGTGCTTCCATCAACCTCTACTTTACTTGGGCATCCAGCCCTGATCGATACGTGAACTATGACCCTTACCATATGGCTACACCTACTCCACCACCATCCTTCTGACACAATCGGAAATCAATAAACTGTCAAATACCTTGTAAACTTTGTAAATTAGGACGACACAACTAACAACACACATAAACGTATCTTTATGAACTACTCTATATTCACCTAACTTCAGGTAAGTGTACACTCAGAGGTTGTGGAAAAGTGAACTCACGTCGGGTCTCTACCTCGGACCCGTCAGGAGACCAACTGTAGAGGAAGAATTTAGATTCCAGATAGAGGTCCAGAATATAACGTCCAGGTTAGTTCTAAGGGCCCAAAGCCCTGCGGGGCTGCAGTGCGAATGTTGAGAAGAAGACGAGTGGATTGGCCCGTTGAAGAGACGAGAATGGTACCCGGGAGGGATCGTGATGTTGCTGTCGATAACAGCACCGCACGTTGCCGCGCGATCACGAAGACAGTAGATAGGGGTCATGACGGCAACTCGCCCGCAGGCACCGGCGCACCCGGGATTCCCTTGGAGCGATCCTCGCGATTCGCGACACCGACAATTCTCTTCTCATCCGCACATTTTGAGACGGTTCTTGCGTCTCCGTCGACGAGAATTTGCCGCTCTTCAGGGTTGTGTACCCTCTACACGAATCAGAGAAGTGCATTCCTTGCCTCTCACAAAATGCACATTTGAGGAGGGGGTCCACTTCTTGAGGATTGTCGCCAATCTTTCGTCGAGGCAGTAATCGAAGTCCTCGGCGGAGCTCGTCCAGATCTTTTTCAAGACGTTTCCTCTTCTGTTTGAGTGACGACTGCACCTCTTCTTCTGTGTTTGGAGATGTCCATTATTGAATTCCTCACTCGTTTCCTTGATGATCAAGTAGTTGTTAGTAGTTGTTCAAGTAGTCGTCGTCTGAGATAATGTTATTCTTGTCCGTGTTTCTCGGTTTTTCTGCGACCTGTTTCTGCTGCCTTGCAGCATTACTTTCTTTGGTATTCCCAGCTATTGCTGCGAGGTAATTTTTCCATTTTCTGGAGGGTAGTGTTGACTTCATCGTTGTTATTGAAGTTATTGAAGGTGAAACCCCTCAAAACGACCTTTTCTTGCGAACCATATCGGCCGATTTCTAAATCTTTCGCTCGAGATCCACTACTACTGTTAGATCCACTACTACTGTCTTTGCACGAGCAAGGTTATGTCCTTCGCGTTTGTGTCATGATTGCAACGATGTCCTTCTTGCCAATCCCTGCACTTATGTCTCGTGAACACCGGGTTTGTCGGAAAGCCTAGAATTAAGAATCGCTCCGAAAGCCTTCACAGTTCTCTATAGAAGTTTTTTCTCAACATAGGCATAATACTTACTCACCTTGGAGGAATATTTTTCGTCAAATAGCTTGCAACTATTTCAATCCGATGGTAGCTGGTAATCTACAGCTTAGTTCCAGAGCTGCTCCCTTCTTTCGAACATGGAAATGAGATATGGAGGAAGCTTAGACACAATTAAAGTGTATATTTCGTAAGTTATAGAAAGATCCATGGCATCATGTAAGATCCCTAGGAACATCTCATATTTGGCATCAACACCATTCACACTGTTCAGAGAACCTAGCCAATCCACATCATTCAGATATCTACGCATTGCACTGAAGTCAGCCTTGCTGAAATCTCTACACCATGTAACAACCGTTAAACGGTGTGATAACGACAGACAAAACTTTATAGAAGCATGATCACAGCTTCCAATTGGAGGCTTCTGGCATGCTGAATTTATAAGTGAAGTGCGTTATTGTAAGAAATGTCCGGTTTAGATAAAATATCACGGGTAAGAAAGGAACAAAATGGGTAAAACCATGGCTGGCAAATAAATCAATAAATTTGGTCTCGATGACATCATTGCTCTCTGTTCAGGAGACCACACACATATTTAGGCAAATTGAAATCACCAGCAAAAACTCTAGTGTTTCGGAGAGAGCTTAGATCACATTCGATGAGTGCCTTAAAAAGCTGATCACTGCACATAAAGAGCAGCAAGGTGCTCGATATACAACCCTTTTTTCATCACGGTAAAACGAAACGAAACAAGCCAAAATTTCATAAGAATTTTTGACAGATTCACTGAAAAGTAAATTTATGGAATGTTGACACCTAACTAGTATGGCAAGACCACCCCCTCTTGATCTTCCTATCCGATCGATAACATTGATATTGGAAGGTTGCCATACCCAATAGCGCTGCTACTCCAGGCTTGGAATTATACCCCGTTTCAGTCAAGATTTCAGAGCCAAGTCACAATTTTCTTACAAAGATGTGACGTAAAGCTTATAGCGTTTTTTGGTAAAGAACGGAAATTAAAGCAAAAGAGAAAGATCAAACGACCGAAGAGAACCTAAACGTTTTTCGAAACACTAGTACTAGACACCGAAGTAGGGGAGTTATTCCGAAAGACAACACTATCAAGAGGCAGAGCCAAGGCTTACCTGTCTTACTTTGACCAGCTAAACGCGCTCCAGTAGTGAGGGCGGGGCAGATGAAGGCCTAACTGTGGACGAGAGAGCGCGAACGAGCGCGTTTCAAGACAGTTTGACAGAAAGTTAGTTGTAGGTAATAATGTAATATCTTTATAGACGCGTGTGAGTTGAATAAGGAATTCAAAAACGATTTATGGGAATGCACTCAACATCAAGACAGTTAAGAATGGTATTCACAGCGTGACAGTCATGATGCGCTCTTCTTACGGAAGAGAATGAGGAAAACTCAGGAACCCCAGAAATTACGACTGAACGAATTTTTTCCAATTCACGTTTAGCACAGACCAAGTCAGATGAGCTTAAGACTGTGAGTTCTTGATAGTATCAGAATGAGACTCTATCATTTCGAAAGTTTCTTAATCTTGCAGTTTTCAGACCTCAGTTGGTCATTTTCATCCGATAACTTGATACACCATTGCTTGATTGCCAACAATTGATCCCTCGTATCCTTTAGCACTGACAAAATGATTTTGACATAATCCGGCAGATTCTTGTCCGAGTCGATGAGCTTAGAAAGTTGGTCATCCTTATCTGGCGAGCACAGCTCTTTATGCTTCCTCTTGAATGTTGGAACACACACACAGACACAGATCGAGTGGAGTTTCCATTGGTGATTATTGGTGGTCAATCTGTGTGATCAATGAAGACAAGTACGAAACGTCAAGAGTAGACCACCACCAGGCTCGACCAAACAAAATTACTCCGAAACAGCAAGAAGAAATCAACACGTGGTAATACACCTATACGGGTGACTTGAGTCTTGAAAGTACGATCTCCGCCATAAGAGATCTCGATAGGTCAGCTGGCGGAAGGGAGCACAGATCAGAACACCCAAGAGTTCGTCTGTGGATTTGTAGCTGAACACACAGAATTTCAGTAGTGAATCAGCGAGTAGAATAACAAGGGGTAGTAGTCAGAAGTAGGATGCGAACAGAATAAAGTAGGAATACTCAACTTCACACGACTGGAAGAAATTGATATCAGAGGATTGGCCACCATGACCGCTCAGAATGGGTGCAGCAGGTCGAATGAATGTCAGCATTGTAATTAATGCTCTGAGCTCTGGTTCACAGCATTAATTACAATGCTGACATTCATTCGACCTGCTGCACCCATTCTGAGCGCTCACGTTGGCCAATCCTCTGATATCAATTTCTTCCAGTCGTCAGTGAAGTTGAGTATTCCTACTTTATTCTATTCGCATCCTACTTCTGACTACTACCCCTTGTTATTCTACTCGCTGATTCACTACTGAAATTCTGTGTGTTCAGCTACAAATCCACAGA